TGTGAGCCATTCCCCAGCTCATCCACCAACCTCTGCACGCACGATTTGGGCACTTACACACCGCAGCAGCACCAGTGCATTCAGACAGGCAGCCATGGCTCATTTTTATTTCCTTATTACCACATTTGCATGGCATTCTCTCAATTTTCTGCCTTSCAAGAGCGAAAGTTTCACTGGGAAATGTTTATTAAAATGCAATGGTTTCTCCAAGGCGCGGAGGTTGCTGTGGTTCCTCTCCAGGCAGCCTGTCCCAGCACGGCACGGCGCTGTCTCAGCTCAGGTGAGCTTTGTGGTTTGTTTTATCCACTTGACGTACTTGGACACCCTGGTGTAGATGCCGTACTTGCCGGGCTTGGCACATTCCTCTCCCCAGCTGGTGATGCCCGTCAGGAACCAGGTGCCCTCGATCTCGGTGGTGTAGGGACCCCCGCTGTCCCCGTCACACGTGTCCCTGCCCCCGGACGGGAAGCCAGCGCAGAACATGTTCTGCAGGATGGTGGTGGAGGTGCTCTTGAGGCAGGTGGGCCGGTCCACGAAGGGCACTTTGAGCACCTGCAGGGTGCTGGCCTGGCGGCCACGGTACAGCTGCCGGCCCCAGCCGCTGACCGTGCCCATGCCCTGCTTCAGCAGCGCGTTGGTGAACTCGCGGCTGCCCAGGCAGATGGGGGTCACGTAGCTGCTCAGGGTCAGSGGCTGCTCCARCTCCAGCAGGGCGATGTCGTTGTGGTACTCGCTTTTGCTGGCGTTGTACGTGGGGTGGGGGAGAACTTTCACCACTCTGCGCCGCTGCTCGGTGTGGTCATCGCTCCTGAGGTTGTGTTCACCTGCAGGGAAAAACGGGCATGGGCTGGGTCACTCTGCCAGCCCCACTGACCATCCCTGGGGTGCCACCCCATGGGATTGCAGCCCCACTGACCATCCCTGGGGTGCCATTCATGGGATTGCAGCCCCACTGACCATCCCTGGGGTGCCACCCTATGGGATTGCAGCCCCACTGACCATCCCTGGGGTGCCACCCCATGGGATTGCAGCCCCACTGACCATCCCTGGGGTGCCATGGGGATGGGATGGGATGGGATG